GGACCCACAACAGGGAGTATGGCAAGCTCAGCCCAATTTCCATCAATTCAACCTCCTGCTCTCCAACCCCTCTCAGCACCTTCCCATCCCACTGCCGCTCCACCAGATGCCGCCGCTGAACCCAGCCCAGCGCCTGCCAGCGCACAACCGCAGAGCCAAGCTCAAGCAACTTCAAAACAACATCCCAATCTCAGCAGAACTACTGGCACACTTGCAACACTATCGACCAATTTACCACCACCCAACTCTCCTCCCATGACACCTACGATCAAGCATGGATCCACGAACGCAACCGCATCTCCAACTGGATGCCTCCTCTGAATTGGCCTTTCCTCCCTCAGCGTCTCAAACTGAAGGCGCAAGGATGGCAATTCACCAAACACCGAGCCCACTTTTACTCCCGCTTGGCTACCCACAGACGTTTTTTCCAACGCCTCCGCCGCCGACAAAACACCTTGCGGGAACCTCACCTTTTCACTTATATCGCGCCCTTACCCTCCTCCGCAACCTCACCAAACACACTGCCGACTCCTTTGAAGCCGCCAAACAACTCCGCAGCGGCCGCCATACAGATCGAACTTCGACGATGGAGTCGGAGACCCCGAGGCCCCGAAGATGTTCAGACCAATCCACTTACACCCGTCCCCCTGGGCTTTTCACTTGGCCTGGCGTGTGTGGCAAACCGCAGCCCTGTTGAACCTGCCGACTGGGATGATATTGAGTAGGCAGGCTGTGGCACGCCGTGACTAGTCCACAGCGGACAAGAGTAGGCCGCAGCGGCCGTAGTACACTCAAGGCCCATTCAAACCTGTCCAAGCCCCAGCTAGCGCAATGATTCCCCCACCTCCACCTCTTCCTCCCGGCTCCGGTTGATGGAGTTCGTCGCGTTGCTCCATCCTACATCGTGAACTCCTTCATTCATGTACATGTTCTCTTGGAGATGACTTTGGCCCTCCTGTGCTTCCGCTTCTCTACTATACTTCACAAATTTCACAAGTCTTTTGAATTTTGGATGAAGTGACCTCTCCTTATGTTCTTACTCAACTTCGCAGCCTGCACGCTGCTCTTCGACAACCCACCCAGGCAATGAATGCTGGTCTCTATTGCGCTCAGGAACTCCTCACTACGATTGGTTTGATGCGCGTCCTCACTCCAGGACCGGAACAACTAGCCGCCGAACTTCAGGTCCAAACTGAATTTCCTGATCTCCGTATTCTACCGCCTCTCTCTTCAGGCCCTACTTCCGCAGTTCATCCTCGACTTCGCGATTACACCATTGACATGGCATTTTGGCGCTTTTCGTTCTCGTTCCCACGGTCCGGGGCCTCTTCGACTCGTGATCGCTCTCGCTCCCGCCTTCCAGCTGTACTTGTTTTAGATGAAGTTTCGCCATCGTCCATTTCGCCAGTGATTTTACGATCATTTTCACCGACCGATTTGTATGGAGTCTTCCCCTAGTGTTTTTGCCGACTACCATTTACCCGATCATTCTCCCAGTGTTATTGTTTGATTCTACTTTGACTCAACCCTTCCTCAGTTCTTGGTTCAAGCGGCACTTCATCTCCTACATAGACTTTCCACACTACCATTCTTCTACTAGCGCTCCCGCCTTGGTATGCAGAATCGATGCTAGGTCTGAGAGGTGCTAACAGACCTTGCCCTTGATGTTGATGGCCAAGTGGCTGTTGCACGTCGTGTAGAGCTCCCATGCAGCCCCACCGCAGGCCTTTCAGGATGATCGTGATTTCTACCCGTGGCAGGCGTTCCAGTCGCCGCCGATCAAGGGCCGATTCACCACCTTGGGCGGATGATGGGCGGCTGGAGTCGCTGTCCCTTGGCCTTGACCTGGTTGAAGCGAAACAGGAGGTGCTCTCAGGCCGTCGTCGTGCGCCGCCCAGCATCTTGTCTTCCTCACTCTTCCTCAATTCAACGCATCCAAGCGGCGGTCCGCCACACTCCAGTGGCGCTTCTCCAGGATCTCGTCGATCAGCCCGAGTTCAGAAAGCCGCCCATAGCGCTCAGCGCCCTTCGGTTGGGCTCGTAACCTGAGCAAGCACACGTGAGCTAGCGAAGCCGGAAGTGGCCGCTGTGTCTTTTTCACTCCGGAGGATCACCTGATAGACCTGCAGGAACGCCTGGCTTTTCCCTGACGGGTGTGTGCATCTTCTATGTCTAAATGTCATGGGGAACTCACAGTTTTAACAGTGCAGGGGGCAACCTCGTGGGCTGTGCCACGACTGATATGGAGTCTGATCAACTCCACGTACCTGCTTCTTTTGACAAAGCTGTGACTCTACTTTCCTGTAAAGGTGCTAAAGAGTTCTGCAGATGTGAGTGCCCGTCGTCATCCTGTTGTTTCGTCGTTTCTGGAGTCGAACTTTGAGACGTTGGCCTCCTAACTACAAACGTTGGCTTCCTGGATGTTCAGGCCACCTCACTTACCCCTTGTCCTGGCTTCTTAGGTTTTTCACTGAGGCTGGCGAGTGGCAAACCGCAAATCAATACCGAACAAATTATCCTGAGTGTGTGGGCATGGCGCATACACAACAACAACAACGACGACAACAACAACAACAACAACACCAGCAACAACAACAACAACAACAACAAGAAAAACAAAAACAACAACGACGACGACGACGACAACGACAACGACAACAACAACAACAACAACAAGAACAACAAAGCACCAGAATGCCATGCCCTGAACATTCCCGAGCTTCATGCAGGAATCATTTTTCAGAGCTGTCAGAGACCGCCGCCAAAGCCAAACTTGCTTGTTTGCTGTCTTTGAAGGTTTGGCGCTACATGTTGGCTTTGAACAAGGCTGAGTTGAAGAGACCGTGCGCCAGAAAGAGCATTTAGCCAATGTGACATTGATGAAACTGGGTTGAAAGTCAGGTACCACGGTACAGTTCTGACCTTCTCTCACTTTGTTCCCAGAAGTTCCTTGCCCGTGCGCGTCTTACGCAACCAACGGGAACTTTAAGATTGACTGGAAAAAATTGCCAAGGTCTCCCGCGAGTATGGTGGTGCAAAGGCCATGGACCTGTTACATGCAAGAGATGAAACTTGAAATGCCACCAGATTGCTGGAGAGCTGCAGGTCTCGGGCTGTGCCGAGCTCGATGATCAACTGCGAGATGCAAGGCCCAATCTTTCAAATGTCACATAAAGGTGCTGTTGGTGGAGGGTGTGACATCCGATGGGTTTATATAATACGAATATTTATGTTTAATCGAGGGCGCCCCAAAAGAACACGAAACACATGGTGGATGGGCCGGGTTCAAAGCGGTGAGGCAACAAAGAGAGACGAGACCCGTTGCCGGCACTGCATTTTGGGCCAGGAGTTCTTGCCACTTGTATTTCAAGAACTTCAGCAAGGACCTTTGGGATTCAACTTTTTTTGTTTGAAATGCTTGCATTGTTCAAAAGTGTTTGTTTTGCAAAGCAGGAAATTGATGGTGTCGCCTACATTAATTATGCGCACAAGAGCGGTGGGCTCGGCACTTAAGAAAGTCTTAGGATGGACCCCGAAGCAAGAAAACAATGACCTGCAGTTTTGCTGCTTCCTTGATTTCGCTGTTGATGAGGAAAACAAGGTGCTTCCAGCTGTGATGTTTCATATGGCATAGCCGACTTTGTGCACAACTCACGCCCATGCAGAAGCAGCTTCAAGACAAGTTGAACCCAGGTAAGCATAGGTTGTGGAGTGCAGACATGCTTACCTGCACAACACATGCCGATGCTGGAGATGTCGTTTGCATTCAACAGCTAAATCATGTTGATGATACTCAACAACCAAATTCTTCGGTTCCAGGCAGTAAATCATAAGCAAATATATATATATATATCTATAAGTCTATATATATATATAGCATACATGTTGCAGTAAATATTATGAATCCAACCTGGCTGGCTGGGTGAGTCATCCCTGCCCGAATCCCAGGCATGACGAGCCTATTCCGCCCATCTCTTACATCAAAACTTTTTAGTTCTCAGTCCAAAGCTGGAATTAGCATTGTTGTGGATGATTATTCCTTTACAGTCAAGGTGTGTTTTCGACGGGGAGAAGATTTGCTGCGACATGGCTTCTGTTCACTGAGAGCAAAACGCAGATTCTTTGGCACACCCGATTCTTTTGCCACCTAGCCGTTAGACGATGTTCTTGGAACCAACAGCCTACACTTCTTTTTAGTTCTGGTATTCTTCATGCTGATTAATGACCACACTTCTGACTGCGACGGATAATAGACTTTTGCTGCACTGGGTGGACTGCAAAGCAGCCGTCCAGGCATCATTGTCCCGTTGAGCAATTCAACGTTTCGACAAATTTTCTCGTGACATGTGTGCGAGCTTCCATTTCTCAGTCCTTGGTGAGTAAGTTTGTGTGAATCCGCACCATGTGTCACACATGTCCGAATAATTTTGCGATATTTTGTGACAGCGGGGACGAAGTGTTCTTGCAGATGTCCAAACATTCTCCACCAGCGCACATCTCGGCAAAGGGTCTGAGAGAGCGCAACTGCATGGGGCTTTTAGCCTTGCGAATGACAAGGATGGCACTAAGACGGCAAGCCGTCACAATTTAAGAAGTCTGAGGCCTATTAGGTCAACGGTCTCTCACGGAAGCGTTGCAGCAGCGCGCTGCGCGGGTTTAGAGCTATGCGATAACAAGCAAGCCCATGTTTTGACAGTTGCAAGCCAAGCAGAAGTGAAAGGAGAGTAAGGGTAGTACGGGAGTTGTAGCGGCGCTGCAGCAGAGCCTTGCAGATCCACTCAAAAATGTCTTGCATACGGTGCATGCTTTGCGCATTGACGGCTTTTGCATCTGGAGCTGATGGCTCATCGAGCTCATGGAGGCCGTCAACGCCCAAAGTCCAGACTCCCCCCGACCATTCGGCAGTTTTCTTCCTTTAGCTTAGCCTCCTGATTGCCAAACCAAGCAATACATTGTTACATCCACAAGACTTACCTTCACGTCAGTTTACTGAGATTGAAGTCTTGAGAAAAGACACCTGGTGCCTCTGAGCCTGGCTATGAGCATCGAGCTTGAGACCTTCCTTGGAGACTGGAAGGACTTTGTCTTTGAAGACCCTAGTAGCGTCCTTGTTCCTAGTAGTAAGGCCAGGAGCCCCCAGCACCGGCACCCGGCGCCCAGAACCAGCACCGGCGCCAGCAACCTGTCTCCACCACGTGCACAGCCATGCACCAGCGCCGGCACCCGGCACCGGCACCAGCAACCTGTTTCCACCACGCGCGCAGCCAGCTCACAGCACCAGCACCAGCACCGGCACCCAGCACCACCACCAGCACCCGGCGCCCAGCACCAGCACCGGCGCCCGGCACCAGCACCAGCACTCTCCCTGCATTGATGTTGGGAGTGGGTAGGTCTTGGGTCATAGTGGCTGCCCCTACCGCCGTCGTGTCAGGGATACTCGTAGCTTGTGAGAGCACTGCTAGGAGCTTCTCATGAGTTGGGTCCACTTTGGGAGCGTGCTTGGGCGGACGCACTGGCGCTCCTGGAGGAGACCTCTTTGGCGGAGCACAGCTGGCTGCCTTCCGGTACGGGGGGGCCTCCTCTCTCGGCATGGGGCCAATGTGACCACCTGTCTGTAGTCCCGCTGTGACCGGGGCAGGAGAGGCTTGGGCAGTTCCATACTCTGACTGCTGAAAAAGGGGGCGTTGATCCGCCAGCGACAGTAGGAGGGCATCAAAAAATTCGGCAAGCGGCAGTCGTATACGCAAGACAATTTCCACTTGTGGCCGGCCGTCAGGGCCATGAGAGTACTGATGGGGGCCAACAATGAAAGGGAGGGCCATTGAGCGAAGACTGTCGACGAGAGTTTGCTACGAGGAGAACTGAGCGCAACTACTGACCTTCGAGCCTGAACAGGGCGGCACGCCTGTGAGAAAGCTTGTCTTTCAGGGCACGGCGCCCAAAATCGTGTCCATCTCGCTGGTAAGCGTCCAACACGCGTTGATCCCTGGCTGAACACAGAGATGCTGCCGGTTGCTGTGAAGGTTCTGTAGAGTGCGTTGGATGTCAGAAGAGCATGGTGCATTGGTTTGTGGCAGGCCCTTGGCTCCACCAAATCCTGCAGGCTGTGATTGGGGGAGGACAGGAACAGGTTGCGGCTTAAGCCATGGCGGGATTGGTGGCGCGGGGCGGTTTGCGGTTGCAGGTACCGCTGGCAAGGCGTGCAGCTGCATGAAAGGGAAAGCAACAAAGGCTTCCCCCGGTTCAGGAGGCCTGGCTTGCCCTAGGCCGACTGCACACCCAGGAGAGGGAAGGCATTCTGTCTGATAGAGGATGCGATAGACCATTGCTCGTTGTGGGGCACTTCGGCCATGTAAGATGACACCATCATGTTTTTTTTTGTGGCGAGTCTTCAAACGGGAAGAGGACTTGCCCACTGGTGAGCACTAGGGAAGACTTTCGCATCTCGTCAGGGACAGCTGCTACAACCATCTCAGTTATCGATGGGCATGTGCCGTCATCCAAAGGGGTGCGTAGAAAGGCCGCAACGTGTCTCCACCACGTGCGCAGCCAGCTCACAGCACCAGCACCGGCACCCGGCACCAGCACCAGCAACCTCTCTCCACCACGCGCACAGCCAGCTCACAGCACCAGCACCGGCACCCGGCACCGGCACCAGCAACGTGTCTCTGACATTCCTTGCTCAACCGGTACTCTTACGAAAAACAAAAACATTTGACATTCCACACTGATAGCCAATGATTTCTAGAATAAAGCCACCTCAGTGTAGTGGACACAAACGTAGCCATTCATTCACGATAAACTCTTAAACCGTGCATACCCGTAGCCATTTCACATTCAGTGACTCCAGGCGCCCGAATAGGTTTTTCATGCGACAGTATCGCCTCAAGTCTGGTCAGACACGTTTTTTGTTTTGTCGATTTGGTTTGTAAGCACAGTGCTGCTCAAGAACAGCAAGTCACCGCATGGATTTCATGCGTTGCTGAACAAGTACTCTCACGAACAAGACCATCATTTAACATTCCACACTTTCGTTCGGACTGAGTTTGAAGCTCTTGATGGCATCGTTCGTTCCGATCCGGATGGTCTCGGGCAGGTCAGGCGGAAGGACAACCAGGCGGGAAAGACCAGTCGACCAGTCTCGTGCTTCCATCGTGGTTATGTAATGATGAGGCGAGAAAGACAATCACGTGATGATCTTGCACCTTCAACAAAGAGGCGAGAATCAACCGATAAATCAAAGAGTACTGTCAGAGGTTGACATTCCTATTGAATCGCATTTCGTCAAAACGAGACCATAGAAAACATGTTGTTTGCCTCTGCGCGTTCTTGGGCGAGAACCAAGGCCTCCGCATAGCTTCAATTCGTGGCTTACGTCGTTAGAAAGTTTTTTTCACGAACTTGTTTCAGCGTGCGGGAACCGTTGATACTGCAACAGAACGGAATGAACGGAATGCAATACTGGCGATTGGTATTCACTGGTTACCATTCCATCATAAACCGCACAATAGAAATTGACGCCTCCACTCCGCCGCCGCTCCGCCCCGTTCCGCCCCGCTCCGCTCCGTTTGTTTTTGCATTCCGTCATAAACCAGATAATAGAAAATAGTTTCCGAACGAAAGCTAATTTCTATCACCTCCACTCGCCAGGGGGATTTGCCGAAGTCCCTTCGCGTTTGAAGCCTCGGAACCATGGCCATTTCAACCATTTCACAATGGCAACCCCAATAGAGTGGATGGCTCCTGATGATGCCGAGCCGATGCCTGTTGATGAGGAGGAGGAGGTGCTTTCTTTCCCTGCAGGGCTGAAGTCGACACCTTGCAATCCAACGCTCTGCGATTTTCTCCTGCTAGGTTGCGAGAGACTGGGCCCGGTCCCTAGGTTGAAACACTGTCGTGCTGCTGACAACAGCCCAGAGTTACGTTTGCTGGAAAAGTTTGTAAGAAAAGCGTTGCTCAATGAAACCGAGCCCAAGCATGGATTTCATGCCTTGCTCAACCGGTACTCCTGCTCAACCGGTACACTGGATGGTCTTGTACCTCAACAAAGAGGCGAGAATCAAACGATAAATGAAAGATGACTGTC